TATAATTTCATTATTATATACTGTGTTAAAAAGAATAATTCATTTGCAAATACGCTTACATGCCGTACTAACAAATTGGATCAATAGAACAGTATTAAAAAGAAGAATTGTCTTCAGCAGCTTATAAAAGATGATCAAGTGAATACAAAGATTATATGCAAATTTTTGCAACAAGATTCGGATATAATTGCAAATATCGATATACATATAATTACATTATTTTTCGATATTGTAAATTATATTATTGAAGTAAATAGATCTCATTCGAATTTAAAAGCTCTACGTATTCAGATTATCAAATCGTACAAGCATTTCATATTCAAAAAAGAACTTTTGCTTTACAACAATCGACTTTATATATCGAACACTGAAAATCTGCGAATCTATTTGATTCACAAAGTTTACGATTTAGTCTCTACTGTATACTCTGGTGTCAAAAAGATCTATGCTCTTTTGGCCAATCATACTATTGGAAGAACATGAATGATATAATCGATCAATATATATGGAATTACTACAAATGCAAGCATAGCTCTGTATTAAGAGATTGCACTCCCAATCTCCTCCACCTGCTCCCGATTTCTATACGAGTATGGCAATATGTCATTATGGATTACTACAGTTTTAATAAGGATAAATACAGTTATGACAATATATTCGTTATTATCGACCGATTGATTAAACAAGCTATTTCGATACCCTATTATAAATCAATCAATTCGAGAGATTAGGCTCATTTATACTTATATCATATATATAGATACTATAATGCCTCGGAGACTATAATCTCTAATTGTGATCCTTAATTCATATTCAAATTCTAATAAGAATTCAATAATATTTTAGAAACACAAATCAAGTTATCTATCACTCATTATTTGCAAATTGACGGTCAAATTGAGATTTATAATCAATATCTCCAATAATGTTTATGATTCTTTATAAACTATTATTAAGATGATTGATTTGAATTCCTATTAATAATAAACTATGCTCAACTCACATTTCCCTATAAATCACTAGATGGTCAAACTCTGTATAAGATCTTGTATAGCTATTTATCCCGCAATCCCTGGGATTGGAATCCGACTCCACTACGCCTGTTGACAATTTGAATATAATCAATACTAGAGAGTATATCAAATACAATAAACTAGCATTTGATTGAGTAAAAGAAAATATCTTGTATGTATAAGAAAAGATATCTCGATCAGCCAACTCGTATTGTTTGCTTAGTTGACTTCGACATAGGAGATTATATATAGTTCAATATAAGGGACTTTCCGATATAACAACCATCCAAAAAACTGGATTATTCTATTCAAGGTAGATTCAAGATTATTGATCGGATTGAAAATTCCTTCCAATTAGACTTACTATTCATTATGAAAGTCCACCCCGTATTTCTATCTAGCAAACTCCGCAAAGCGGTAAATAACCCACTTCCCGGATAAATCCTTGAATTACTGCTCCTAATAAATATTACTGGTAATACCGAATGGGAAGTGGAGTGTATTCTAGCTATAAAGAAAGTACGCTGACAGCTTAAGTACAGAGTATTGTGGCTGAACGTCGATGATGATCTCACCTGGGTACTCTGCCTCTAACTTAAAAACTGCCCTGCACCACCTTCGTGACTTTTATTTATGAAATCCCATTTTGCCAGAACCCTCTATGCATCTATTGGAGTGAATTCATTTCTATAAAAGTGGAAAGGATGATTATGATTTTACAGATAACAATTTAATATATGGAATGAAAAAGACAAAAAGAATTTCTTTAATTTATTATTGTAACAAAGAAAATTCTAATCGCACAAAAGGTTGAAAGTGATTGAATAAAGATGAATATCATAAAGAAAGTCTTTTCTCCTACCCGACAGACTTAAATCAAACTAGAAAAAAAGCCTCTATAGGTATAAAACGGTTATGGTTGGGCGAGGTATGATAGTAAAGACTAAATGATTTAAATCAAAATACTAGTTGAGTCCCTAGCCAACAGCAATAACAAGTATATACAGAACCATCATAAGCTGAAGACAAAACGATCCTTAATCGCAGCACGCGTGACAATAAGACCGAGCTAGTGTTCAATCACACTTAACCGCTATGAGCTGCCAAAAGCTCTACTTCCATCTAAGTTATAATAAGCTAGTGCTACTGTTCAATTCGTTCCCCGCACTACAACCTTTGCTACGCGATATTTCGTAGCTTCTCGAGCAAGGGTAAGAGGAAGCATTTCTTCGAAACGCAACTTTTTAGCTCCTCCTGTATATCAAACTATTTCAAGAGTTAACTTTGCTAAAAGCTGGCAAAGTTGTAATTTACCTCTACCATATTGCCGTATTCAGCAATAGCCAATCGGTATGGAGAAATATCTTACGTGTATCCCTGTCAGGCAAACGCTTACACTTATGCTTGTCAGCTAGACAAAACAGATAGTGAGATTGATTAGACGATTATCCAGAAAGTCGATAGCAGATACCATCTCCCTTACCGGAAATATAATTATGTACATAGCCAGTACAAACCCAGTTATTTCTTTTGAATATATTATTCCTGCTATAATACTATCTTTTTTGATAACCTCTTATTTAAAGATCCTCATTTATTGATATCAACAAAATCAATACTTCTGTAACGAAATGTATCGAATTTGCAATCAGATTGACTTTGACACAAAGCCTTCAGGATATCTTTCTTAACTATCTCGCCATTATTTTCGAGATTACGAAAATATATACTACTGCAATCAACTTATTAGCAAACTTCTTTTCATAATTATCAACATGATTAATCAAGGGATTATATTCTTTCTCCGAATTCTGCTCGAAAAACAATGAAACGGATACATTCAATAAGCATATCGAAGATCGACCCCCACTTTTAGGCATATTGCCTTCAGTATCTGTAATTACACTTATTAAACAAGCCGACTGCAAGCCGAAGATACCAAAAAAAAGTCTCACTTATATACATCTTTGTCAATCCAATCCATCTTCCTCATTATCCTCCTCCTCGCCAACAGGATTACTGCTACTCCTACTACGGCTCGACTCCTCCTCTTCCTCAACAGAACGATTGCCTCACGCAACAGAAAAGGCAGATGCTCTTTTCGTTGTAAGCTGTAAAGAAGTATATCAATAAAACAAACACAAAAGAAAAATAAACAACTCACTGCTGTATACATATCCTTTCGCTGCTTTCAGCTACACTAGCGACAACTTGCTCTTGCTACTACGTTTTCTTAATGATATGGAAGGCATATTGATTATTGATCGAGGAATACAAAGAAGGTGAATAATCAGAAAAGATTTGGAAGAAAGAGGGAAATTCGGGCGATCTATATACTTCAAAGGTTTCGTATTGTTATTAGGCTACAGAACGGTTTCCTCCGTTTCCCATGCGCCTTCCCGTTGCAAAAAAAGCAAAATTTGCGTACACACCCGTTTACTACGCTATGCTATAATGTAAACAATAATGCTTCATTAGGATCGCCGATATGTCTACGGATTAGATAATTATGAAGCTTGAGAGCAAGCTTTTTCGAAAGGGGGGATAGTATTACGGATTGCATTTAATTGCAGTTACAATTATTTATATACACGCTTGTGTATATGCACAATTATATATATATAGCTAATATATAAAAATGCTCTACAAGCGCTTTGCTCCCGATTCTATAGTTATAGATTCTAAGAATAAATTGTACCTGCTCTTGCAGTTCTTCTAAGGCAAAGTTGTCACAGGTAATGATGAAGCTATTATAATAGTATTCTCTATTATATCCATATCACTGGATTCAATTGAGCTAGCGATATAGCTCATATTGAAGATGTGGTTGTGTTCTGAAATATTTCGAGCAAAGTTTTTCATGCGTTTTTTTCGTGTGCATTTCGTGTTTCGAAGGCGTCGACGATAGTATTACAATAATTACTGGTCAGAATCATTTGGGGATAATTATGATAAGATTTTATTAATAACTATGATCTAAAGCAATCGTGGAAAAGGTTGTATTTCGAAGAAAAAGTTTCCTTCGAAATTTGTTGTGTTGTGAAATCTTCAGAGAATATGTCTTTATCTCTTATATACGTCTAGTTCAAGCTAGTCTTGAACTAGACTGTGATGAGTCATCATGTGTGTCACGTGATAATCGTCACATTAGGAGGGAAAAAGCTCTTCTTATTTTATACTTTTTCCAATCCAATCTAGCTTTCCGCTTTCGTTAATGTCTTGTAGATCCCTTCCTAATCCGGCCATTCCTTCGAAATAGAGCTCCTTTTCATATTCTTTATTAATAATCGTTTTTGGAAACTAATAATAATCGTTTTCGGAAGCTAAATACAATCGTTTTCGTATAATTGCTTTCGGAAGCTTATAAGCGACGATCACGTGATTGAATCATGTGATTCGATACTAGTATAGAACTTATTCTATATGTATTCAAAAAGATATATTATTATATTATTTTATAATAAAAACAATACTTCTTTATTTGAGAATTTTACTTATATAAATTAAGATGATAGTTTATATCATTTGAGACAATTATAATCTTTTACATTCATCTCAAGTTGTTGGAGCACGTGATAAACACGTGATATCGTATCACGTGCTCTCAGATGGGATGGTGATACATAGAGTAGCAATCTATCTTCGTAGGAAGAGGGTAGATAGAATAACAATATCTTCTAATCCTATATAGCTTATGTATACACCTTACGAAGTCTAATCAACACAAAGAGATGGATATCGTGAAGAATTAGGAGATTTTAGAATTCTAGAATTTAAAAGCAAAATACATATATGATTTCTATCTCCTATTGCTACGCTATATCAGGTATCATGTAATTCTAACCAATATGAATTTCGTCTCATGTACCCCAGCATTACTCCTGATATAAAATCATTCTTTCAGCCGATGATTAAAGCACTTGGTATCTCCTGGCACAGGCCAAACCTCTCAAAAACTCCCTCGAGCCCAAGCTTAGCAGGTACCTATCAATAACCCTCCTTAACCTTCTCGAACAGACCAACTTCCTCCTTAGTAGGTCTACTAAGATTGATAGGAGCCTGATCACTTCCATCAACCCGACGCAGTCTCTCCAGTGTGAATCTCCAAAATCTGCCACCCTTTCCATTAATTTCGGCATTGCCCCATGTGACCTGATATAGTCCATCGTACCTAATGCCAGCGGCAGGACCGTTTTTCCAAGCACAACCAGCGTTTCTTAGAACACGCACTGGATTCTCGGTCTCTATTGATCGTCTCAAGGCCATTACACCGGGTTTCCGAATCGGCTTCCTTGATGATGGATCCATAAGCACCAGGCGCAGAATAGTATACTATATCTCCTTCATCCCTATCAAATCCGTCATAGTGCTTTGAAATTACGATGCTATAAGCACCTTCTTTCTTATCTCCAACGATTCCAGCTTGTGGAGCTCCTATTATAAGAGATCAGTCTAGCTTCACGGAGAAACGGGGTTTTTAAGAGTGTTTAATTACCATGTGCACCATCACGAAGGGCTGCCATCTGTCTTGGCCAGCAGTCTCCAACAGTGAGACCATTGTGACCGTGAATCTTCGCGTTCTTCTTGAATATGTGCGCCTTTTTGTCGTCGAGAGTTACATGACCACCCTGTTTCCATAAAATGCCGCGCATGATACCATTATCTCCCCAGATATGGCTAGCTGATGCAGGTGGAGCCGAGTAGCCTGTGGAACTGGGAACGGGGCTTTCCCGGGAGGAATTATTCCTAGATTTCTTCGAAGATGCAGGAGTCTCACTGACGGACTTTCGCTTCTTATCTTTATTTGCATTGGCAGATTGTGAGTCGATAGTCAATGCTGCCGCTGGTGGAGGTGGAGGTGGAGCATCAAAACCATTTTGAGCCTCAATTCTATCGATCAGAGCTTTTGCAATGCTGGAGAATTCTTTAGGGCATAATGGATAGGCAAAGAGCTCAAGGACTTCCTTGAGTTTGAGAGACTTGCTATGATGGTGGTTAGCTACTTTATCGTCGTGGATACTACAAAAACAGTAGAAGTGACCAAAAGAATGGCCTCGTACCTGATCTCTGGTGTAATGCTGTCTTCGACGCGTGAGATTATATAGAGAAAGATCTTGACTTTTCGCCAGTTCTCAAGAATTGGCTCGTGGCCATTTTTGGAAGAAACAGCTGCCCTTATGACAGCCATCTTTATCTCGACGAGTGTTTTAAAGGCAGCTGTCGGTTCAATGTTGATATCGGAGACTTTAAATCCATGCTCCATATCAATTTTCAACAGCTTGTCGATAGCAGCTTTCGGGTCAAACTGAGGCTCAATCGATAAGATGTCAACATTGCCATTATCTTTAATATCCGGCTCCTCTTTTATAGAAACTTCGGTGTTTTCGGTAACAGGAGATAATTGAGTATCTGAAAGCGGTTCAGATTGTATACGCAATTGCTCCTAGGTGAAAGTTAGTTCCAAAAATTAGGTTTCGCAAGTAGATATAGAGCTTACAATTGTGGAGTCAATTTGGTCAGGAACTTGAGATGTAGCAGAAAGTGGAAGCTCCGGCAGAGGTTCCTTCTTTAATTCGCAATTCCTTTTGAGATAAAAAGTTAGCTGGAATCCAGAAATTCTTGAGAAAACCCTTCAATAAAAGCTGCAGGACAAAGATTAAGTTATAAACTTATAATCCATTCGAAAATACAACCATGTCATGCATGATAATTGCTATAACAGCTGTTATAATTGATGGATTGAAGACTTACAAGAGCAGACGCCCCACCAAGTGGAGCTACCCCTCCATTCTCCATACCCAGGGAACCCATGGTAGAGAGAAGGAAAGTTTAATAGTAATTGGAAGTAACGACCAGCTGAATGAAGCAAAGAAATTATTATTTTTATAAAAGAACCCAGCAAAAGTAAAAAAGGAAGTAAGGAAGTGATATCTGTTGATACTTCTATTTTGTTGTTGTGTTGGAGTGGAGGAAGAAGGTTGTAGAAATATCTGGGCTTGGGCCAGGCCCTGAATTTATGGACTCTTGAAGACGAACGCGGCAAACACTCACTCAATGCCACTGATTGGATAAAATCGGGAAAATATAGACGATTGACCTCACGAAGAGTAACCAGGTGGCGATTACCCTGGTAAAATATCTTTTAATTATTTAAAAAGGGTTTAAAGATATCTTTTTTATTCATAAGTAGATACAAACGCGTACAAGATATAGTCTACTACTTACTATAAAAAGCTTTGTCTTTTACTAGTACATGAGAAAGAATCTCTACTAAAAGTAATACAGTAGCAAACGGGGAAGGACTTCTTATAGGAAGGAACCCTTGTCGGCGCCTAATTAATCTTTAATGTTGAAAGGAGTACGTGAGCGAATAGATATCTAAAGAAATCTACGAAATAGCGGATATCTAGATACTTATGAGATATATACGTTAAACTTCGTAATGTCGTATTTACCTTCATAAACATAATTGACTAAAAGGTTAGAAGGATGGAATCCGTAGAATCGGTCATTCTATTGTTTTAAGGAATGTAAAAATCAGTTGTTTTCAAACAAGTCTTTATTTGAATCAAGTTGTCAACATTCCAACTCACTGGTGACTATGCTTGGGTCACCGGGGAGTGAAGTGGTAAGGTGGCTTCTAAACCCCATGATGCCCTCAACTCTATACAAACATTGCAACAAGTTCCAAAACCACACTGGTAAGAATCAATTGGAAACCAATTATAAAAGCAACTTTCACTACATCAAAGTCCTGGATTTGGTCCTAATTTTAACAACAACACAGACAGTTACTTAATTGTTGATTGACACAGAATATTGGTCAAAAACTATTTTCTGAAGACTGACTGACTACAATCATGGAGGAATTTGATGATTATATCTTCAGGATGAAAGGGGTTTGCTTCACTGCAGTCTGAAGCACATATAAGATGAGTGAGTCTGTCTTTCTTGCTATGATCTTTTTTGTTTTGTTTGCCATAGAAGTGCTGACCAGTCGTATGCCATAGATCATAGAGTTACCCCGCTACACCAGCTCTCTCTCACTTCACGTTCTACAGTCTGCAGTCAACCATCCATCGCCATCATAATTCAATACAGCAGAGGACTACGCGCACAAAGAATTACTGAGCATATAACAAAAACTATGACTCAGCCTTGTCAGCAAGTACGTGGGTGGTCATGGACTGACATAGAGGGTTGTCGACATGAACGGGAATTCCCCAGACAGGGAGCATAAGATATGGAACGAACACATCACTGATGGGAAGCCAAAGCTGGTGGAGATACCATTCAATCTGCAAGACAAAACAAATCATACAATGGAGACAATTGGGAGACCACTGGGAAGGAACATAGAAACACACAAATCTGGCGATTTTCAGGTAGTGCAGTGGGAGCAATGCGCGCAAAGTTGTCATATCTGCCATTGAACAAGAGCTCTCAAACCAGCTCAACATTCTCATGAAAGAGAACCAATTGGAGGATAAAATACAACTCCAATTATCCAATTATCCACGACCGACATCAAGCTCGAACAACAACACCAAAGAAAACACACAATCGAAACGAACAAGAAGCAATTGATGGAAATTACACAGACTGAACAAGCAAGGCAACATGAGAAGGTTCAAGATTCAAGCTTGGGTTTCGATAAGAGATTATGTTAAATCGATACTAAATTGTGCTTAATTCAACCCGAAGTTCACCCAGAGATAGTTCAGTCACCTGCAATCCAACCAAAAACAAGGACAATGATAGCAGTACCAATGAAGGATTGAGTATGGAATTCTGGAATGGAACGAACTTTTGGGAATTTTATTACTTAAAGATAATTTCAACATAATTACATTTCAGACTACAATATGTGAGTTCTACGATTAGCAGATTAACCCATGTCAAGCTGATATACTCAGATTATGAGGATCTGGTCAGGATTTAATTCATGCTGTGATGGAAAGGAGGTATATAGGTGATATCTTGCCTCTCAATATGTTGCAGCTGCTGAAGTTCAAACAGGCCAAAGTCCAGGGAAGTGGAATCTGAAGAGGGTGTCATTTACAACTTGGCTTTGTAAGATTACATCTAAATATATCAAAACAGCGAAGTGAGTGAAAAAGAGCAGAGTCTGGATTTGAAGAGTATCTATAACAGGAGCTCTGCATAATCATTCACAACTCAAGAACAGTCCCAAAATTCACGGGCAGACAGTCGCATTTGTAGTCGTTCTTAGTAATGGCTCATAGTGAGCACCCAGATAGCTTTCTCCTATTCCTCTCTAACAGATCTTCATATCAGAAGCAATGCCCGACTTGCAAATATACTTCTCAGCTATCCTAAGTAACATATACTCTCGAAGCTAGGTACCAAGCAAATAGTCATCATCGGATCTCAAAGCACACCTATTAATCTCAACCCCCTTCCTCTCTTCCCTCCCACGATCCCTCCAAAACCTTGGCAAGTGCGCAACCCACAGTCCGGAAACGAGAGCTTCCACGTCTTCAATCTATCACAACTCACTGGAACATGCAAAAAAACCCTTCAAAATGCAAAATCTCGACAGATTTGCAGAATAATACACTAAACTATGCTTTAGTACTTTCCCTTTTCCTGAATATCCAGGTACCGCGACCATCTCACCCAGGAAACGCCGATTCCGTATTTGAAGCACAAAAAATACGCAGTTGAAATCGGCTCTATTGGCTACCTACTTTTACATAAAATGCTACTCAGACTTATGACCATGGCTAATTCCTCTTTTCGATTTTCCCCATTGCACATCTTCCTTTCAGATATACCTCCTGCAGCAACATGGAAGTTTTGCGTAGGGATAATTATCCAAAACTCACGCATGGGCAGAGCCAAGAATGATAGAGTCAGTCTCTAGCTCGTGGTCGGTGTATGTAGTAGGGGTGTAACAGATACCTTCCTTCTCTATTCCAGACCCAGCGAGTCGCGACAAAAATACCAAATCTTTCAAGTCGTGCAAAAACATAATATAAATCTATCATCTCCACATACCTACATACCTCCAATCCCAGACAAAACGATCAACCAACCTCGAATCTCCAATTGCCCTTGAAGGCCCTTCCTTTCCCACTCTATCCCGAGCAAAAATCTCACACATATCATGCACAGAACAGACCACAAATAAATAGCTTCATAGCCCTCTCAATTCTCTTCTCTATTCATAAGTGATAAATGATAATCATACTGTATACATTATCGCTCCCTCCCTCAAGAAACAAAACTCCCAACTCCAAAATCTCGCTAACTCAACTCAAACTCCTTACTCCTTGCTCGTGATATTTCAAAGGCAAAAAGGAAAGAAAAGAGGTAAATAAACCCTTCCCGCCGATCCATTTCTCTTTCCGCCGATTGGGAAATACATTTCCATCTCAGGCGTAGATTCTTCGAACGCTTTTGATTCGGGAACCATGTCATCGACTCGACCTCTCGCTCGCTATCAATCAAGCATCGTGAATTTTTCAATCCTCCTTCGTTCTTTCGTTCGCCTCCTTAAAACACCATTCCTCACACCCTGCAAATCCATCCCATTGTTTGCCAAATAGAGTACCATCCCAACCCGCAACTCACCCATTACTCTACTACATTTGCCTCTCCTTCTCGCCCCTCCCCCTCTCCTCCTCCCCCTCACCCCGGAAACGCAGCCGGTGGTCTCGGCGGCGTCATAAGAAGTCCATTTCCATTTCCATTCCCATTCCCATTCGCACCCCCATTCGCACCCCCACCCCCACCCCCACTCCCACCCCCACTCCCACTCCCACTCCCACTCCCACTCCCACTCCCATTCCCACCCCTCTGCGAAGGTGCCATAAACGAAATCTGTCTCGCCCTCGCCGGTTTCGCCGGCATCGCTATCACCTTCGCAAACGCCTCCATACTTGCTTCATGATCCCGCAGTCTCCTTTCGTGTTTTCTCATAAATTCTAGGGGTGGGTTTGCGTCAGTTCTTACATTCCTTGATTGTAAACTTAGTCCTCTGCTTCTATATTCCTATCCCAATTTTTCACGTGATTCCTCCCCTTCCTCCCTCCCCACTCCAACCCCTTGAGAAAAATATGAATAAATAAATAAATAAATAAATAAAACACACCTTCATGTTTCCTCACCTCCTCCTGATGAATCCTCATCTCCTCCGCATGTTTCAACGCCTCCGTCTCATAATACTGTTCCATCTCATACTGTTCCTGCGCGATCCGATCCGCCTCGGCCTGGATGCGCATCTGGGCTTCCATCATGCGGTCCTGCGCCGCGCTCATCTCGTCGAGTTCGCGCGCGCGCTGTTCGGCCTGTCGCTCATATTCGACGATGCGAGGGGGTTTTTGAGACATGGTGGCGAGGGTGTGGAGGGGTGGCTGTGGTTGTGGTTAGATGGTAGGTGTGCTGATTGAAGACGTGGGAGTGAGGATGAGAAGGGCGCATGTGTGAATTGATGGGTTTTTATTCAATCAGTCAATCAATCGAGTTCAATTTTCAGCAATAGAGAGAGGAGAGATAGATAGGTAGATAGGCATCCAAGATACGTATATAACAAGTAAGGAAGTCAGCAAACCGACAAACCGACAGACAAACCGACCGGTATAAATCCCAAGCGATAAAGAAATCAAGAAATCAAGAAATCCATCCATCCGCACCCCTCCCCATCCCCCCCCCAAAATCAAAACAACTTAAGATTAAGTTTTGACGAAAATCTCGCCTTCCACGTTTCGACACCCATCCGCATTGTCATATCCCTCCTCACCATCCCTAATATCTCCCATTACACACCATACGCATCTCCAATCTCCATCTTCCCTTTCTTCAAACCCACCCCATCAGGACGTTTCCCTGCGGTTTCATTTGCAAATTTTCCATACCATACCGTGTCCAGTTGCGGCGCTGCAAATCTGTAACAGATGGGTTTGAGACAAGTTCGTGTGTCAGAATCGTGGGTTGCTTGGGCATCTTGCAATTCCTTGCTCAGGCGAATTGTTTAGTCATCGTCGATTGTTTTAGTCTCGGGTCTGTGTTCTCCACTCTTTCTTGGCATTTCTGAAGCGAATCAAGCGATGGAAGAGTTATAGGGATGACTGTTTGTATGTGTGCGCATGGGGAAATTGTTTCGTTTGCATCGTGGGATGTGAGTTCTCTGGGTCTTGGGTTTGTTACGAGAGTTATAGATCGGATTTTTTTTCTTCATTGCGATGTGTTCGGATTTTCGATCTTCGGATACCTATCCAAGAAGAATGAGAAGGTTGAGACGGGGAATTGTTTCTCTGGCTCGTCCTGTGATTTCATGGCGGGTGTATGTACATATAATATATACTTGGTAGGTACGTACGACGGGTTCATCTTAACTTTTGTTGATAGATTTTGTTAGAATACTTTTCGTTATGGAAAGTTATATATTCAGATCTGTAAAGAGAACAAAATACAAGGAAGAAAATCGATATACAATAAATCTGCAAACATTCAAACGCCTACCCTAATTTTGGTTCCAATCCCAGTGCCAACTCCATGTAACTACACTCAACCCCAACTTTCCTCCAATCAAATTTACCAATCGATACGCCTCCCTCTCCCCTACTCTCACTTCCCTTCTTTTTTCCGCCGGCTTTCTTCCCCTTCATTCTCCCCCCATCCATCGCAAACCCAATCTTCTCATCCAACTTTTAATTGTCTTTCGCCTGCCTCTCCTTCTCTAACCCTCCACCTCTCCATTCCCCAACACTCCATCCAACTCATAAACCGGCGGCAACTTCAAGTAAACCCATCCATCCTCTCTCTCCTCCGCCTCAAAAATCGCTATACTAACTTCCTCATCATTCTTACACCTCCCCTTATCCTCTCCATTCAAATTAAAATTCCTCTTATGATTCGGGAACGAAATCCAAAGATTCTTCTCCTCCTTCCCCTCACTCCCAGGAATAGAAACTGAACCATGACCCGAATCTCCAATCAACCCATCACTCAAAACAAACGCCCTCTTATGCGGACACATCTGCTGACTTTGCCAACCATCTCCCCTGTACTCTCCAACCGCCAAACTGCGTATCCCCCCTCTTCACACTTGCCGAAATCCCACTGGGCGCCTTATCCGCGCCCTTAAAATGATCTTTCTTAATCACCCTCTCCCAATTCAAACTCGTCCACTTCACATTCCTGAAATCCGTCTTCGCACTCTCCTTCGTCCAATCCACCGGTCTCGTTTGTCCCCGCTCAACCTGCACATCCATATTCTCAACCCGATCATCACAATTATCAAACTGATTAAACCTTTCTCTCATTTCCTCATCCTCAATCGCAGCTTTCCATTCATCAAAGAAACTCCCCACTAATTCCTCCATCTGCGCTTCCAAACTCGCACAAATACCTAGCTTATCTTCCAAGATAACTTCGCGGAGATATTTGATCCCGCCGGGAAGAGCTTCCAGCCATCGGGCTGTACGTTGTAGTTTATCGGCTGTGCGGATGTAGAAGATGAGGTTAGCGGTCTAGGATCGAGAATAACCGAGCTGGGGGGGACATCTTTGGCTAGGAGCTCGCTGTGACGGGGGTGTAGCGCCACCTTTCCGCCAACAAAAATATTGAAACCTTTTTCTGTGGCTATGAGTCCGAAAACTAATGACAGCCGATTAGGGTAATTGATATTCAACAACATGAAACAAGAATCAAGCCATCAAAACCAGAAATGAGGGACCTACTCTTTATTCTGCGCCTCAGCACATTCCCTCACACATCCACTGACACCTCCCTTAATCTTATGCGGCGATCGAATACTCTTATACCTCTCCTCCAATCGAACCGCCATCCCCACCGAATCTCCAATACCATACCGACACCAAGTAGTTCCCACACAACTCTTGACCGTCCGCAAACTCTTCGCATACGCATGACCAGATTCCATACCTCCTTCTACCAGCTCCTTCCAGATCGCCAGAAGATCCTGTTTCTTCGCTCCAAACATGTCGATTCTCTGACCGCCGGTAATCTTAGTGTAGAGATTATATTTCTTCGCCACATTTCCTATAAGGATCAACTTATCCGGCGTGATTTCTCCCGCAGATACTCGTGGCACAACAGAGAACGTACCATTTCGTTGAATATTCGCTAAGAAACGATCGTTAGTTTCCTGAAGCCCATGCAGCGGACGCGAAATAACGTGTTTGTTGTAGAGCGAGCTGAAGATCGATCCGATCGAAGGTTTACACGCTTCGCATCCCTGACTCTCGGGGTCATTTCCCGCTTCTCGCATTACCTCCGCGAGGGTCTTTAAACCCTTGACGGAAATAATGTTATAGAGATCTGCGCGTGAGTAGTTGAAATGAGGACAGATGTGATTTTTGACTTCTTGACCCATGGACTTCATCGTACTGTTGAAGATGCTGGTTACCAGGGGCATGCAGCCACCACATCCCGTTCCGGCTTTGGTGCATGATTTGACGTCTCCGATGCTTTTGCATGTGCCTTGCTTGACTGAATGGACGACGTCTCCTTTGCTGACATTGTGACATGAGCATATTTGAGTGTCGTCGTCCAAGTCGTCTCCACCTTCATCACCTTCCTTGCTGGCTCCGAGGATAAACTGACTAGGTGGTACATCTAGCATCTTTTGATTCTTTACCATAGGCACCAGTTTGACATAATCTTTCGTGTCTCCAATCATCATACCACCCAAGAGATATTTTCCATCCATGGTGAACAAATATTTCTTGTAGACAGCTTGGAAAGGATCTTTGTACGTAAGTGCCTTAACCGGTGACGGCCTAGGTTCAGTCGTCAATTGTATCGAAGAACCCGAAGAATCTTTATCCTTCCTCGCCGCTCTCATCGGTAAATTTTTAGGCCCATCTCTATCCGCGAAGAAATCCCCAAAACTGGCAACCTCCACTCCCAACAACTTCAACTTCGTGCTGAGATCGGGTCGCTTAAATTTCCGATACGCATGCATCTTTGCCTGTGTCAAGTTGAACGACAACACATCTGCCATTTCGATTCCCGGCGCAATCAACCCGAAGGTTTGATTCTCCCAACTCGCACACTCGCCAATCGCGTAGACGTCTTTGACACTCGTACTCAAATCATCTCCGACGACGATTCCTCCTCCGCGCTCCGCGCATTTAATGCCTGCTTGACGGGCAAGTTCGTCGCGAGCCTTGATACCGATGGCAAAACAGATGGTCGAGCATTCCATCTCGTCTCCATCTTCAAACACCACACCCTTCACCTCGTTCTCCTCTGTCACCTCGATCTTGCCAACTCGTTTGGACAACATGACATCCAAACCCAATCCTCTCACCTGTTCCACCACCAAGCCTCCAGCATCAGAATCAAGCTGTCGACTCAACACCCACTTGTTCCGCTCAATCAAATGTACTTTTTTATAATTCTCCAGATCCATCATAGCTTTCGCAGCTTCGAGGCCCAAGAGTCCTCCACCCACCACAAGCCCATGTGTATCCTTTTTCTGATCCGAAAACCGGATAAGATTTTCCAAATCCTCTATATTTCGATACACAAAAACTCCTTCGGCATCATGCCCGGGTGTTTGCGTCGGCACAAGGGCATCAGATCCCGTAGCCAAAACAAGAATATCATACGCGACCGTTTTCGCCCGACGCACACGTAACTTTTTTGCTGGAATGACAAATCTCCACAACCTTGGTATTGATATGATAATTGAGGGACCCGGCCGGAACATCCGCATACTAATCTCTGCATTAACCCTAAGAATTTTACACAAGACCAAAAGGTAAAACTCACCCAAGTTTTCGGATTCAGATACAAATTCTCCACAATCCGATGTTGAAAAAAACTCGTCAGACCAACTCGATTATATGCGAGATGTGATTCTTCGCCTATGACCACGATATCGTATTCTCTCTTCTTCGCATCCAATTTCATCAATTTCTCTCTAGTTCATCATTAGCATACATCCCAGAACTGAACCTCATCCACCCAAGCTGAGCATCAACTCCAACGAAGATCCCCCATATCCAGTAAGTCCATAAATGAAAACTCACATAAAAGCAATCCCCACCATCCCCAACCCAACAACCACCACTTTCTTTCTCTCCGCCCCTGGATTCTCATTCCCAGATGCATTTACCCCGTCCAACCCCCCATTCCTATTACTCAAATCTTCCACCACCTCGACCGGAACCTGCGATTGCAACTTCGACATGACGATACCCCTGCTCCAGGAAAAGAAAAAAGGAACCTATATAATCTCCCAATCCGTAGGGTATTTTCGTATGCACTGAAGAGAAGTTCACTGTACGAGTATATCCCGATCGAGCCTCAAACACGTAGATATATATATATATATATATATAAGTATATTTAATACACTTTCTGCCCAGTAATAAAGTGTTCACTTGAGCTTCGATGAAAGAAGAAGAGAAAATGAAACACACACACGTGTATATGTAGGTATATATATGTTTTCCCAAGAAGAATACTAAAATTCAAAGAAAACAAGAGATCAGAAGCAAAGTAAAGTAAAGTAAGAAAGTACACAGTATATAGATATATACATACATGCATCCATCCATACACCCACACACTTATCTCCAAGCCCGCCACAATCTCTCTATCAACCCTAGGAGAGCATCAAAAGATACCGAGAAAAATGACATCAAAATCAAAATCAAAATCGATATCAAAACCAAACAAATCCATTCCATTCAAATCCATCCAACCTTACCTCACTCTTCCGCCAACCACTCAACCAAGCCACTCACCAACCAATCAATCGATACCCAGCACCCCCCGTCCTCCCCCCTCAGAAATCCTCCTCGGAAACCCTTCAACTTCCATTCCCACATCTCCCCCGTTCCCACAACCCCATATCCCACCCACCCACCAATCAAACCCCTCAAAAACAAACCCCCCTCGCCAACTCACCAACTCAATTTTGACATTTACATTTCCTCGGTCAAGTACCCATCCACCCCATTCCATCTGCTATCAACACATTATCACATAGAAAGAAAGCACGCACAGATATACATATACCTATCTATCTAAGCCCCCCTAGTGCCAATGCAACCAACTAACTAACCCAGCAGTACCACAAAAGAATTCCCGATAAGAAAAGTGTTTGAGCATCCATTCCGTGGAGTGGGGCTGTTGATAGCAGATAAGAAGTTTCCCGTGCTAACCTTGACTCTAATTGGTCAATTGGCGATGCCGTTCAATATTCCCATTCTCTGCCGGAGAAGGAACGGAAATGCTACTTGCTATTTGCTTTTGATAATTTACTTCTGGAGACTTTTTTAGTCAATACTTTGGATGTTAGTCTAGACCGGGCAGTGATAATGTGGGTAAATGGAGAGGGTCATCGAATAGCTGTACAGGAGTACCTGTGTTATGAGTATCGGAGCAAAGATTGTTCTACCTAGGTAGGTATCTGAGATAAGATGGAAGAAATGGAGGGGCAAATCAATAGATAAATAATTGTATTAAGAGTCTGTTAAGAGAAGTAGAATTTTTATTGAAGTAGAGCCTATGCATTTAACCACAAACCAAAGCAGCGCAACGCAGTGCTCTATGAAACTATCGCATCTAGATCAAACCTCGAACGCCAATCAGTCCCGACATTCGCTTACCTGGTATCCATGACGATTTAATAAAGGAAAAATCATAATACCCCTTGTGCCGTTCCAAATGCCAAAATTTTGTGCCGGACAAATCATTTTGTCAGGTCTTGTCATCCCATGATTTCGAAGAAAGTTGCAAGAAAAATAAAAATGAAAATAATCATCAGCATCCTTCACTGTCACCGTCATCACTCATGCTACCATAGCCCGCATCGTTTTCCATGCCAACAACTTGTGCAGTAATGGTCAAGCATTTCTCCACCATTTCTCTCTTCAATTCAGTCTCCAAACCACTCTTCTCACCATCTGTGCCACCGATCCAAATTCTGAGGTTGCCAGCAAATTTTTCCAACGAAGTAGCACAGGTCGAGGCAATCAAAGTATGTTCGTGCATCTTCTCAACAAGCTTGTACATTGCCGTGAAACCAAGTAAAGTGAGATTGACCGGAACAATAGAGTCGATAATTTTTGGCGCGTTCTCAGGATTAGCTGGCATAGGAAAGCGTTCCAAATAAGCAAGGGCCATTGCGCAATGGATCGAAGTTCGAATGTCTGGTAAATTGGCAACAGATGTTTTGATGTTAACATTTGATGACACGGGCATCTTTTGTTGTCCTGCACCAACTGCCTTGAGAGCCATAGCGATACTTTGTCCACGTTTTTCTTTGACGAGAACGGCACGCGCAACGAGAGCACGAATTTGAGCTCCGGATCCAGGAGGTGCTGTTTGAATGGCAATCTTGATATCATCGGCAATGGTTTTGTAACTTGCAACGTCTTCATCCTCTACCTCCAGACTCTTTGCCAAGGCTTTGTGGAGTGTAAGACTTGACCACCAAGCTGCGACAGCATCAAGAGGGCTCCGAATAGCAAAATCATCCACCACGCGGTCCATACCACAGTTTACCTCTGTATTGCTGGTGGTGGGTAGATTCCATGCAAGATTATAAGCACGTTGTACAACGGCATCGACCAAGACATCATCGCACTTATGCTCGAGAAGGGTAGCGAGGTGTTCGGGTAGCTCATCTTGTTGCTCTTTGGACTGAGAAAGAACTTGCTGCATTTGTTTTGCTTCGTTCCATTTCCATCTAGCCATTTCCTGAGCACAATTTCGAATGATTTTAGATCCAGTAAATCCAATCTCGTTTAGCTCCCATAACAAAACACGAATGTGTAGTGCTTTGAGCATCAAGCGGGCTGGAGTGTCAGGGAGTGTACCAGAAGCCAATAAAGTCAGTGTCAAGCGGCTTTTGCTGACCTCAACATCGCCACCAGTCAGCTGTGCGTCAAGAGCGATAGTCCAGGCTTTAATCCGAGCAATCTCTTGCTCTTCCGTGGTACCAGTCAAGAAAGAATAGAGCGAAGGTCCAACAATGTTGCGACAGGTGAACTTGCCAACCTTCATACACAAAGCAGCTGCCTCGAGAAAGAAATTGTGTCTTGGTACCCAGACCGTTTGAACGGCTGTAAGCCAAGCCTGTCTTCTGACTTGTATAGAAGAGGCGAGTGAAGGTGCAGCGGCTAAGTTAGCAGACTTGGAACCTTTGGCATTTGGCTTGGGGCTGAACAACGAAGGTAAGAAGATGTAGAGGAGGAGACCGAGTGCGAGAGAGTATTGAAGATAATGTATAGTCTGGCTTGCTGGCAAGTGATATCCCTGGAAGTTGACCTCCAACATTGAATGAAGACCACGGCTCAAGGCTCTAAGGAAGTGAGTAGGAAGGGCCATGAGACCACGTGCGCCAGGTGTATCAGTCTCTTGCTCTGCCTCTGAGAAGCCTTGCACAATCATTAGACCAGCAAGAGAGCCGACCATGAGCTTGCCAAAGTATCCACCATTCCATGCGTTAGGACCGATTGGTTGGCGGTTCTGAGTGACGTATTGCGTGGGAACAGCAAAAGTTTCTTGACTCATTTGCCCATGTAGTCTGCGCATATCGTCTGGTACAGGTATCATACCTTGATCGGAGGAAGGTGAAGGACCTGGTGTGTTGAAATCTTGAGCGTATTGATATGGATTCATTGGCTGTTGCATGGGACCGAAACCCATCGATCCAGAGACAAAGAGCTTCTCGAAAGCGTTGATGCGTGTCTTCATTTGATTATTCTCATCCTGTAAACGTGAATTGCGCTTCTCTAAATGCCGAATGTATTCAGTGGCCTTGGAGAGGACCTATTTAGAGGAATGATTAGCATGGCTTGAGCCTTGGATGTGAAGTGAAGACATAAAATAGTGGCGTGATTTTGAGACTCGCATGACATGTTGTCCAACTGATTGTCATATCCGCAGATACATCGACTCATATTTGCATACTGGAAAAAGAAATAAGAAAACAACCTACTGTAGCTTTGTTCAGTTTATGAGCCGGAGTTAAACCTTGTAGTTCGTCTCGATCATCAGCTGTCACTTCACCACGAGCGCTCTTTTGCATTATCCGCAGACTTGGTACACTGTCCCGAAGAGCCGCGATCTTGTCGTTCAGGTTGTTGCGATATCTCTTCTCAATCATATTGTGCGCCGTCGTCTTCTTGGCAGGTGGGTGGTGTCCTCCAGACTCGTCGTCGTCCTCATCGTCGACCTCGGCGGAGGATTTGCGTTTGCGACTCATATCTTGTGATTCGGGTGAGGAGATAGAAGTGGTCTTGGAAGTGATGGAAACTGGACTGTGTTGGTTTTGGTATTGCAGATGAGGTGGCATGGCAATATCGCGCAGCTTTTCTTGTTGAGCTGCAGTAAGTCCACCGTTCGAGTTCATACTATTGTACCTTGGACCTATATCTTGAAGGTCTTCTTGTTTCGGCATCGGGGGATCCCAATTCAATGGGGTCGAATATAGTCCGCCGTCGTAGGGCGGGGTAGTCTCGTCCCAATTTGTTGGAAACAAAGGATCGTCGTCGAGGCCTAGTGAATCTGCAAAAATGGCTGTTTGATCAAATTCATTGGAAGATTCGAGACCGGCTGATATTCCCGACAACGTCGGATCGAAAGAAGAATTCTTGGATACCATGATTTGGCACATCACCTCGAAAGGTGTCTTATTATACAATAGGTTATGTTATGTGGAATCTGGGGATGGGGATGTGGATGTGGTGAGAAATGTGAGAAAGTGGTTTGATAATTGGGAAGGTTCTGAAAATCGAATCAGATAAGACAAGGATTGAAATGTGCACAAAATGTACGAATTGAGACAAGCTTGCGAATGATTGAAATGATTGGAAGTGAATGGGAGGGAGGCAGGAAGGGAAAGTGGTATGGAAGGAAGGTCGAGAGTCGAGAGAGTTCACAATTGGGGGGAATTGGGATATATTGGATTATCGACCGATAAGCCGTGGTGGTCTGATTTTATCGTATGATGGGCCGTTCCGCAGGAATTTAGTCGAAAATGAAAGGAGACTAGCTACATTAGGACAAGTGCACGAGAGAAGTCAGAAGTTAGAATGGATACAGATGTTGCATGAAAATGGATCACTTGCTTTTCTTCATCAAGTGCTTGGTACTCAGTGATTGATAATAATACCCAGGTATCGGTTTATTATGATAATTGTTACAGTATTGCTTTTCTGCTTCTTCTTCTTCTCCCTCTTCGACCACGAAATCTAACTACAATTATTGTCTTGGATATCACCTTGAACCTGGACATTCATTCAATCTTATACGTCGTCAACAACTAAACAGTCAGTCTGCTAGCTATGTTTTGGAAGGGATCAAACACAGCCAGCCCAGCGAGAACGAGGGGTTGGGAAACCTAGAAACCTTCATGGTATTGATTGATGACGCTCCGCTAGGCCACTGCTGTGGAGGCCTTTTCGCTTCGCTCTATGGAAGACTAAAGAGAAAGGGAGAAGGAGAAGCTTAAAGGAGGAGCTCAAAGGTACCGGTCTATGTACGGCAAATTACAGTGGATCCATTCCAATCGAATACACCAAGAACATCCATATCTGCCAAGCTACGAGTAGGTAAGGAATTAGTCGAGGAGCTTGTTCTTGCCAAAACGCGGGGTGAACAATTGCAAGTAACAAGTGAATAAAGAACGAACCCTAATGACTCATTAGCTACGAGGTAGACTTTCTAACCTCAGGACCTCGGAAGACTGAGGTACCATTTTGATTATATTTCCATATCGTTGATGTGGTCTCTACCCATGTCTTGAATTTGAGTACTGTTGTATCACTCATTCAGTCGATTTTAATGAAGCCAAAACGAAGACTTCGAGAAGCCTACCAAGTGGAGTTGCACATCTCAATTATGTAATCATCTAAAACACACCGTGATCCGGCTGAAAGTGTCAAACTAAACTTTGGGTACACCATGCGTAACAAGCGAAGGAATTCCGTTGGATGCGTGGGTAGTTTTGTGTACGCATTGCCCTGAATCTGGTGTCTTTCAGCCAATCATTCTGCCCTAAGCGTACATGCTTTGAAGACAGTGTAGTTCACGCGATCAAATGAAGCTATGGGTCAACTTTGGGGGAGATGCTGTCTTGAACGGGTTATCTTTCTCAAGATCCACAAAGAGCTGTCCTTTAGTTGCTGTGCCACCTCCAACTGTCCTTCGCCAAATGAGCGAATAGCTTCGGAATGGAGATTTGATAATCTTTCACTCAGAAAGCTCGTCGATGTAGTCACTGTACAATGAAAAGCCTTCCTTGACAGAGCTATGTAAAGTAGCCGTTCAATGGCGATACGCCTTCATGAGTCTTAATATGTTCGCATGTTTCCATTTTCTATTCTTAGATCTTTCAACATTGTTATTCTCCCAGCATTGGTATTCATGACTGTTTTATTTGTGCCTTGTACATATTTTGTATCTAGTCCAATCGTATTTGGTCAGAAGCATTTCTCTTCTCATTATTTCAAGATTCCAAAAGACTCAGGTCCCCCAGATGACACACAGCGACAACAATGTCGACAAATATTGGTTTGTAAGATTCCTCATCGATAGTTCACGACAATGGAAGCGTTATGATTCAACATTAGCTTCGTGAGCTTGTCATACGCTCTTATACTTATGATTCAATAAACCTTGGAGTATACTCGCAGATATTTTGACAACGTCAATGTATTCGATTTTGAGTTAATTCATGAGGTATGCACCAATTATTGACTTTTTTTTATCTGTGTAAAGACTGTATGGTTCCCGTTGTTACACGTCAAACGTCAATGATGAATCCATCAGAAGCTTTTAAGTTTGTGCTCTGTTATACTTTCATCATTGATGTTCGAGAACCAATACTGGTAAACTCAAATGACAGACAGAGTCTCAGATTCCTCGACCACGCACCATCTTATGCTCATTTCTCCGCATGCCCAATCAAAACACTTTGAATGATTTAAGTCGGATTCTGTCGGAAAATAGAACGATTGCCAAGTCCGATTGTTGTTAACTCCCCGAGAAAGGTGGATTTGGCCCGCTAACAAGCAGGATATCTCCTGGTAATTCTTGAAAGTGGGGTCAATCAACCAACGGCTCCCTCTTTCTCGGACATTCGATTGATAATCTGGGGAAGAAATAGCATAAATGATCCACCGATAATTTGAACTGCGCAAAAGATGAAAGCATAATGTACATGGCAGCGTTTTTCTTGCATACCAGCTCACCCATAACTTATAAGTAGCAAGATATTTCTCAACTCAAAAGATTTTCTAGACATTATTCCGCCTGTCTTAAATAGCCACTATGGATTCTGCTAAGTTCTCTCAATTCAACGTTTCGGTCAAAACATACAAGACAGTCCGAGACCATGAAATCCAAGCCTACATTCTCGTACCCAAAAACATATCTCCTGGGCCCCATCCTGTGATCGTGAAAATTCACGGTGGCGGTTCGGTAAATAGCTCTCGGATGCCCTTCCACTTTACAGATACTAACCCACAATCTAGGTAGCCGGATCAGGAGTCTTCGCTCCTTGGTTTCCTCAGTACCTCCTAGCCCTCGCGCTTCGAGAATCTGCCATCATTATCGCGCCAAACTATCGACTCCTCCCAGAATCAACTGCTCCAGAAATGATCTCCGATATCTCCGATTTCTGGACCTGGATGCGTACATCCTCATTCCAATCTTCTCTTCCCCCCAATATCACAGCCAACCTCTCTCACACTCTCTTGTATGGCAATAGTGCAGGTGGGCATCTCGCCATGCTATCTTCACTAACCGAACCGGAAAATACCATAAAAGTATGCATAGCCGCATATCCGCAACTAGATATCGAAGATGAGTGGTTCTGTGAAAAATTTGAAAAACATCCTTTTGGTGTACCCATACTTCCTACAGAGATCTTGGATAATCATTTAGAAAAGATGGAGAAGGATCCAAGTAAACGAGAACTTGTTTCCGATACAAAAGATCCATGGGAGAGATTGCAACTTATTCTTGTGGTGATGCAGCAAGGAAGATATAAAGAAATATTTGGGCAAGAGGAACATGTTTATCCTTTCCGAGTTCTCGAAAAGATATCTAGAGATGAGGTGAAGAGAAAGATGCCTTTCCTTTGGCTATATCACGGAGAGAAGGATGACGTTTTACCTGTTGCCGGCACCACGAAGTTTGCTGAAAAATGGCGGGAGGCGTTTGGAGGGGAAGAGTTGATGGTACATATTGAAGAGGGCGCAGAACATGGGTTTGATACTGAGACAGATCTTGATGCGGGGTGGATGAAGGAGAGATTGGAGAAGGTCGTGGGGGTTTGGTTGAAGTAGAGGTGATTGAGTGGAATACATATTTTTATCAAATCAGACATTATGAATATATGTGGATAACACTGTGAAAATCATAATATCCGGATCGTTATTCAAGTAAAGTGTATTTGTAGCTTATGTGATCTGGGAAGAGTTTACTCGTGGAGGGCAAGTCTTGATGATGCATTGGCCTGCGGAAATACAAAAGGCACGTGATACTGATCATCCAAAGCTCATTTGTTGATTATAATTCCCAATTGTCCGAGAGTCTTTGCAGAAATTCGACACATTGATAATCACTTGTAATAAGACTGCTTCTCGAGTAATTTTGAAAAGTTGGCGGAATCAGAGTACAACCTGCAAGGAAACTAGCTGCCAACGAGTCTGATAAGTCCGTCATTGGTCTTATACTCCTTCAGAGCTTTTTCCTTCCACGCATCCCACTTCTCTTCGACCCCAAAACACTTCAATATCGCGGTAGCTAGAGGAAGTGCGTATTTCCATTCAGTCTCAAGAGCAAGACCCCAGAAAACCCTCCTGATTTTCTCATCTGCGCTGTCGCTAATTGATCCAATCATACCTCCTTTGTGAAGCAAATCAAGCAAGACCTTGTCGTCTAGACTTAGCGGTACCGAACCTCCGCATAACGCCTGCATATCTGCAGTAACTAATGAAGGACCAAAAGCTTCCTCTCGTGGCACCACACGTGCCATTTGCCAGTCAATGATGCCAGTGATATTTAGCTGATCATCAACGAATAGGTGATCGCCTTTATCATCCACATGTTTGAGATAGAATCTCTCCACACCATCGCTGTCAACACTGCGCTTGAACTGATGAACATTGTCCTTCAGAAAGCGGTACACCAAATAGGCATTGATTGGGTACTCGGTGTAGAGTTGGCCGTCCGCGATGAGCTCCAGATACTGCTCAGCAAAAGCACTATAATACTCGGAAGAAGTTGAAAACGGGCCCCTCGGATCAAGTACAAGGAACCTATCGCTCGCACACTTAGAAACTTGTAATTGAGATGAATGCAAGCAAAGGGACTCAGCTTTCTCAAACGGGTGCTTCTCCAACTCTTTAAGAATTCTCGCAAGACCAGCCCAAACTTTTGCCTTCTCTTCCTTGCTTGCCTCGCCACTAGACCAACATATTCCAGCTACCTCCTCCATAAGGATGAAGCTAACGCCGACTCCATGGTCTCTGTTTGTGCCTGCCAACCCATAACTAAAAGCATGTGGGGCGGGAACAGCGGTCGTCTCGAGAAACTTCAACGTGGCATACTCGCTGCAGATAAGATATTCTATCAGCGAGATAGAGACAGTGTTGCAGGTCGCAACGCGGGGAACTCGTAAAAACCATGATGGGGAGCCATCTTCAAATCGTATACGTGCGTGGTAATTAGCGGCTCCCATGAAACTCTCATCGCCACTCAACGAAAAATGTTCGATGGTGCATTTTCGCCCGCTATTAAGACTTGAAGCGTGTTTGCATGCGGCTTCATCATCGATCATTGATCGGAGGCGCGTGATTTCAGCTTCATTCTGCGCGATCCACGCTGCATCGTCCAGGTCCTGATAACATTTATTTACACTCTCGCCAGACTTGATGAGACGGTATTTTCCTCACCTGATTGCACCCGTGAAAAGGCGGCAACATATGAATGCTGCATAAGTATTGAGAGCATGAATCGCACCCACCAAGAGCGCGCACGCTCGGTCGGTCACAATCAACAACCGAACAAGTAAAGAATCTCAAGCTCATAACAGGAAGAAGCAGTTTTGTAGAAACGGATATCGTTGTACAATTTCAACAAACCAAATCGTTGCTGGGATCAACCAATTAGAACTAGTAATTCTATTGGAGCTGGTCGCAGGTCCTACGATTGGCCGAAATGTGTATCTACACGTGATGGGGCATTTATAAATGCCCCGGCGCTAGTGTCATCTATCTCTAGACGTTTCTAGTTATATCTTTGAAGTATGTATCTTTAAAATTCACTGGTGAATTATTCTGCGAACAGCAGTATCACAAACCTACCATTATACACCTTGGCTTGTACTAGAAACAGAGATTTCGCCTCGAGAAATTATAGACCGTGAAGGCCGAGGGATTGTGCTTAGCAAGTTGTTTCAACTGGAAAAAAAGAACCTTGGCATAATTCTACGCTTCGCAATCCTTCACGATCAGGACCAATAATCCAGTCTTGCCAGTACTATCATCGGGAGTGGACATTCTTTGAAGATTCACTGACCTTGGGAAATTGGTATTCACTCTCTCGGACATCATGGCTAGAGTTATTTATCAAGATACAAGGGGGAAGTCTGTTGGAATCCCAGGGTAGAGCACATTCCGCCACCGGGCAAACATGAAAATTGAGTATGGGCGAAGCAAAGCTACTTGTTTGTTGTCGAATATTCCCCACACTGTCACTGCCTCGAGTTCATATGCAATGATTGCGGTGATCTATTATTGAAGCTCTTGGAGCGGTTTAGATCACCGAATAAGTAAGTTACGAAAAGGTTAGACATATTCGCCTTACAACAACGTTATTATTTCCATTCGTCTAATTCATCCTTCTATTCCATTTTTACTTTTTTGGAACTCGATAAGCATCGAATCACTTCAATACTTGATTCTTCTCTGGCAGTTTCGACGAAGATAAAGTCGTGGAACCCCAGAGGAAGGTCGTGGCCATGTGGCTTTGAGACTTAGTAAGTTTCATTCGAAACCGTGCCTCCTAGTAAGATCGACGCACAGAACAACACCAACCCTATCACGATGTGCACTTGTCCAATGACTATTGTTATTTTAGTTTTAGCCTTTGGAAGAATATTCATTTCTCTCAATGCCGGTACCTGTCATTGTTAGAGCTTGCGTTACAGTTGCCTTCAACACTTGTCCAAGTCGGGACAGTCATTCCAAATTGAGTAGATTTTGGTGCCCTGATCGTCGTTTAGGAACCCACTCATTCGGTGTTTTCTTCAATCTCACGATACTGCTAGAGACATGGCAGCCTTAGTATGCACCCGTCTTGTATTCTAGTCTCATCTACTTTTCATCAACCTTAAACATCTTCGATATTAACAATTGCTGTTGTTGACGACGCCGGCGCCGAACATGAGCTCGCGTTGATAGCAAGGAACATAATGTTCACTCATGATTTTCTATTCTTGAATTTACACCCATAGATTGGGTTTTTTACATTTTAATAATTTCTTTTGTCGCTGTGTCGTAATGGCTATACCGGATGCTATTCAGACGCTGTCTGCTGCTTTCTCATTGTTAGTCCATCAACCTCAAATCTCTTTGGTCATTTTCACTAACAATCACTAAAGTGGTATTCTTCTGCAGGCAGCGACAGGCGCTTTACTTATATATGCTAGGGGTCATGGTTTAAATATCTTCAAGGACGGCCGGAGGCTGGTCCTCGTTCTGTTCTTGTTGTTTTCTGTTTTATGGGCACAGATTGGTTTTCTAGAGCTCTTAATGCCGACGACGGGTGCCGGAATTTGTCAGGTTGGGTTAATATTTACAACGGGCTTCGATCAGTTGGCAAGGGTGGCAATCGAACAGTTTTTGTTGTGGTCGATTGGGCATGGAACGAAGATCACCGTCATTCGAGCTATTTTGCAAGGACTATTGGTTGTCCGATTGATTGTGGGAGGCGTTTTGGTCGGCATTACTCGCCCTCAGTTTTCACCTACATGTGTCGCCGAAACTTCGATAATACCGGTGGCAATTGTAGTTCTAGTTATGGACCTTATTCTTGTTGGAGCTTTACTCGTCCAGGCCGGCTCTTTGGGAATGTTTGGGGATCGACGTGAAGACCGAAAAGTACAGAGTCGAGCTCTATTGCTTGTCATCGCAGGCTTTGCGGTTTGGACTGTAGTATGTGCTTAAAATGTTTTTCCAACGCCGTTACTGACAGGAAGTTTAGACCAGTGTACCCATGATTCTTGGTATACCTAGCATTATCCTAATCGTACGAACTGTCGTACCAGCAAATGGCCTCCTTGTACTCGTTGGTGGGTGCTGATCATCTATGGTTGTCGTGATGTACTAATATCAATATCTTATAGGCATGGTTACAATATTTCCGGTGGCATTGTTGTCGCCGAAGCAAGAGGATTCTGTAACCGCCGGTGCAAAATCTCCATTCTCTACAAGCCCGATGGCATCATCTCGAGGCATATTCCAGAATGGTATAGGCGCTGAAGGATCCCCAATAATTAGTCGTACTGGCACTAAAAATCAACTTTTTGTAGTCAATCCTTCCTCAACGCCACCTCAGGGAGATGTACGGGGCTTCACGAAACTCGACGACGATGGAGATTCAGGGGCAACACAAGTTCCAGGTGGTGTATTTCCCGCCATTTTCGCTGCATCATCACTGGCTTCGGGCCAAGCAGCATCCAATTCAGCCTCCCCTACACGCCCGAAAGTATCCGTTCGAGGTCTTGCCATCTCGAAGCCTATGGTCAGTGATGAATCTGATCCTAATACGCCTTTTGCCAAGATAGCCACGATCGATCTTAAGACTGCTGTAATGAACGATCGCGAGCGAAGAGAAATGGCCAGCAAAAAGTCTCCATTCAATACTCCAAGAGCAGTTCCCCTACGACCAAGAATGTCGCCAGAAGAAATGTTAAACAAAGCCAATGAATCTGCAAGGAAAGGACCACCTTATCAATCCAAAGAGTGGACGGCGGATTCTGGACTTTCTACTTCTGCATTACTTTCTCCTGCACAGGAAGTGCGACGTCGGTCACCACGAGGAATTAATAGTTTAGAAACCCTGGAAGAGAAGCAGACTTATAGACCTATCGTCGGATTACCATCTATGCCTAGAGCTCAGAATCCAATGCCACCCCGACAGAATGCTGTCCCTCAACCAGAAACAGTTATGTTAATGAATGACATTATCTATGATAATCCTACAATAGTACAGTCTATCATCAGTAGAACCCCTGGCCATTCCAAACAAAAGTCCTTGCAGGAACTTTCGCCCTTGACTCCTTATACTTCGACATTTCGACCACGGGAGTCTGTAATTGACAGAGC